GATCAGGAAATATCTTTTAAAAACATTGTGGGATGAATAATATGAAGAATAATTTTTAATATCATTTTTATTTAAAATAAATAGATGGCGTTAAATAATTGAATGCAAATTGATGCTATATTTATTATCAAGAGCATTGATTAGAAAAATTTGTTAAAATATTAACTGTAATATATTCTCTAACTGTCAAATATGTTTGTAAAAGGGAAATTTTGATTTTGTAACTAATTCTATATAATAGAGGAATATCAACTATGTATTTATTTACTTTTTATAAATAAATTTCTTATACTTGTTTAATAAATTATTACCATGCTTTTATATTAATGTATATATAAGTTATTTATTATATTTTATATAAACTAATAATCCAGGCTTTTTTTATTAAAATTAACCTCCTATGTTGTAAAATTTTTTTATGACTTTATATAGACTAAAGTAACCCGGCCGAATGCCGAGCAAAAGCGGGCAGAAGACCCGCCCAAAATGGGGTCTGGGAGAGAAGCCCTCAGTAATTTTTTAATTCCCCCCCCCCTTTGGCTACGCCTATGACTAAAAACAATATAAAACTTGAACGATGCATCAAAGATTAAAATCAATGACAGATGCCTTTGCAATCAATGCAAACATTGAAACAATAGATTCCTCACAAGTCAGTGAAAAAATGTGGACAGACCTTTCATCCAGATTAATAGACACTGCCAAATCGACACTAGGCTTGACCAGTGGCGTCGCTTGCTAGGGGGGCAGGGGCTTGAGCCCCCTGAAAAATTTGAATAGCCTCCTGAAGCAAAAATTTTTTTTTAATGGCTTCTTAATATCCCCTTGAACTAAAAATAAGTTTTTTTGATTGCCCACTATGATTTCTTTTATAATTCCATTAAGTAATATATAGATAATATTTTATTATTTAGAAATTAACAAGACTATTTGAATTTTTATTAAATGAATATTATTTTAATTATTAGATTAGATAAATACATATAAATTATATTTTCACTATGTCAGCTAGCAATCAAATTCTGTATTAAAAATATAATATCAATAACTCACTAAATATTAATATAGCTTTAACAGTTGAAGTTTAATTGACTTTTATTATTTAAATTATTATTTAACCCTAATTAAATAAATATAATCATATATTATTTGAAATAATAAATTTAATATTGTAATTAGCCGAGTTCAAAATGACTAATCAACTGTATATTTATTTTTAAATTTTATTATGTCCAAATAAGTATAAGAGATTTCTTTATAAAAAGTAAGTAGACATATAGTTTATAATCCTCTGCTATATACAGTTGTTTATAAAATATTAGATATAATGCAACTTTTATAAACATATTTGAGATTTGACAGTTATATAATATATTACAGTTAATATTATAATAAATTTTACTAATAAATGGTTCTGATAATAAATATAATAACAAATTGGATTCAAGTATTTAACGCCATCTATTAAGTTATAAATAATTTTTAAAAATAAACATTTCATTATTCATCCTGCAATAGATGTAATAAATTTGATATCTTTTCTTCTCTTTTTTTACGTGTTTTTAGGAAGACTATTTTTTTCTTTTTCGAAAAACAGTCTTGAGTTAAATTTTTAATACAAGCATATTTTTGATATTATTATAAACCACTATTATTTTAAGATATAATATACCAAGGTGGTGCGACAATATATAAAATCTTAATTGTTTCATCAAATCATTCTGGTTCTTATTTTATAGTTAGAAAATGTTTCATTTCTAATATGGCATTGTCGTGTAACCAGGCTTCAATATATTTGCATAATTATTTCTTCCAAAGATTTTTAGTGTTTTTATTTTATCAATTTATGCATCATAATAAATTCTGATATTAGTTTAATCGTGAGTGTCATGGCTATTACTGCCAAATTAACAAACATCTATTATTTGTGTTGCTATGTAATTTAAGATTATTACTATAACGGCTGAGAGCATATAATTGCATATTTTAGATAATCAATAATGGTCAACTGTGTAGTCGTTTATATATCATTTAAAATAGAAGATAATCTTTTAGAAATTTAATATCTCACAATAATTTTCTCGATTACTTATCTAGCTTCAATAATGTCATCTATCTAAGAGGAAGCTCTAACCACCTATAGTTCTATGATTTGGATTGGTCGTTTATACTCTCTCTTACAAAAATTGTTGATTTGGGTTAGGCCTATAAATTTTTCCTTATTAGTCGATTCTATAAAACATTGTCTAAAATGGAGAGAATTATATTAGTTTGATAACCTTTTGTCAATGTAAGTTGCTAAAAATTATATTATTGCATTATGTGATTTTATATGCTAGTTTATTTTGTATGCATAATATAATAAATGACAAAATATGAAAATCAGAATAATTGTTCAGAGTTAACAAATTTTAAAAAAGTATAATATCATATAAAACCCGGGCGAAGGCCGGGCCAAAGCGGGCCGAAGGCCCGGAAATTGGGGGGTATGGGGACGAAGCCCCCATAAAATTTTTTTTAGTTGAGCCCCCTGAGATTGTGAAATCTAGCGACGCCCATGGGCTTGACAAGGGGATGGGGCAACAAATTATACAAAGAACTATGGTGGTGGAATGAAAAGGTACAAACCACTATACAGGAGAAAAAAACCCTACCCAAAAACCCAAATGACAAGACAAGATTCAAATAATCCAAGAGAGCTAGCTACAAAGGCTGTGGCTAGGGCCAAAGCTATGGTATACGATGAGATGTATGATGAACTATAACCAAAGAAGGGCAAAATAAAATATACAGATTAGCCAAACAGCGAGAAAAGAATTTAGGGAAATAAACGGAGCTCCGAAAGTAATCAAAAATAAAGATGGGAAATTGATAATAAAGTAAAAAGAAATAATGAATAGATGGAAAGAATATTTTCTAGCTTCTCAACTTCAATCCCCACATACTACATCTAGACGAACACTCCCTATGATGTCAAAACATAATCAATCAATAACAGACAAAAAATAATCACATAGCATATGGAAAACAACAAAAGAGGTCCAGATGATATTCCAATAGAAAGCCTTAAAGCATTAGGAAATGATGTAATACACTTCCTCACAAATCTGTATAATAAAATACTGGGAAACGAAGAAATTTCTCAAAAATGGAGGCAGAGCTATCTAGTTCCTATCTTCAAAAAAGGGGATCCACACAATTGTCAAAATAACAGGGTCATAAAATTAATGTCACACTGTCTTAAACTTTACGAAAAAATCATAGAAAAAAGGTTAAGAGACATAATCGAAATAGTAGAGACTCAGTTTGGCCTTATGCCTGGAAGATCAACCAACTGATGCAATCCACTCAATTAGGCAAATGAGTGTAAAATAGAGGGAAAAGAACAAAAAGCTACACATAGTCTTTTTCGATCTAGAAAAGGCTTTCGATAGAATCCCAAGAAAACCTAACTGGTGGGTTCTACGCCACAAAAAGGTTCCCGATTAAATTATATAAGAATAATACAGGATATGTATATGGGCCATACAACAATGGTCCGTAGCACAACTGGTATTTCAGGCTTCACGAGGGTGTTCATCAAGGATCGGCTCCTAGCCCAATTCTCTTCATAACAGTAATAGATGTATCATCACAGTCTATACCGCAAACAGTCTCGTGAAATATGATATTTGCAGATGATATTACGATACTTGCCGAATCCATGGATGAAATGGAAGAAAGATTAGTGAGTTGGATAAATATCTCAGAAAAACACGGACTAAAAGTAAACAGAGAAAAGACGGAGTATATGGTGATAGGAGGAAATGAAACAGAGAGCATTGATATAAATGAATGGCGATATCGGCAATTGAAAGCTGCAAATATTTGGGCTCCACTATACAAACGGCCCAATAGAGAAAGAGATAAATAAAATTAATCAAGGGTGGAAATGGAGATCATCTGGAGTGCTCTTTGGCAAAAGAATCCGGCACAAATTGAAGGGAAAAATTTACAGTTCCATAGTACCAATAACTACTCTATATCGTTCGTAAACATGGCCAACCATAGAATCAGACGAGAGAAGTCTACAAACTATGGAGATGAGAATGCTGACGATGATTGCTGGGGTAACAAGAAAGGATAAGGTGCGAAGTACAAGAATACTAGGAAGTTTAAAGGTAGTGCCCATTAAGAATAAGATAATGGTAAACATGGGCACACAATGAAAAGGCTTATGAACTATATAGGAAATAAGGTTGAGAGTTTGGTAAAATAAGAAAGCCAAAACTTCAAGGGGGCCATAAATTAGAACCAATATGAAGAAGTATAAATTAGATAAAAGAGATAGCATGAATAACATAAAGTGGAGAGAGATATAGAAGGAGATTACCACCAGAAAAGGTGAAAGCTAAAAAAAAAAGAATTATATTATATTGAATTAAATAATATTAAGGTGAAACTTTTACAAAGATATTTAAATGCCTCTAATAATTTTAAACCAAATCCAATCAGGCCAGATTAAACTCAGATGGGCCGGATCCAATGTTAATCCGATAGTTTACATGGGAGATATAGTTTTCTTGATGTATAAACACATTGACTATAACACCAACTTTATGTAACAATTTAACAAATGACTATTATATATGTCGTATTACAATATGGAATCCAAGGGATTCTAAATCTCTCAATTTCTAATTATTTACTGAGAGAAATTTTTAAATTTAAAAAAAACTGACCATTACCGTGAATTTCAGATACTTTTGCGACGAACTTTCTGAAATTAAAAAATATATAAAAGTTTATAGTATTTGTAATTCACAGGGAAGGTATTCTAGAGGTACTACTAACACATCAGAATAAATTTAAAGATTATTTTCAGTAAAGATTCCGAATTTCCATAGATTCCATATCTGAACACGACATATATATATATTGATAATAAATTTAAAGTAAATAATAAACTTTTTTATTTTCTTTATAAACTTCAATGTATTAATATAATATTCCATCAATAGATTCAGATCATATGGAACAAGTGGGAAAAGAAGAATTAATTGATTCAAAGGGAACGGAAGGAAAGTTCGAAGTTACTTTTAATTATATTGTGGATAGCCTTATTTATCTTTTCTTCTTATTCCCATTTTTTTGTTCAATTAAAAAAATTTATTATTTTATTTTCATTATTTATTTATCTAAAAAAGGACAAATGTTCATGGTTGGTTCGGTTTGGAGCTGATTTTCATAGATCGAACCTAATTATGAAATTGTTTCTTAAGGCCAAGGCGAACACATTTAAAGATTCAACCGAACCGTGTTTTCTTGGTTTTAAATATCTATATAAAACAAAATAATTTCATTTATATGCTAATATAGGAATAATAAAAATGTCATAAATAGCTAGGGTTGTTAAGGTTACTCTTCAAAAGTAAAGAAGGGCCAAAGATGGGATGATGGTTCGAAATATTAAGATTTTCAGTGGAGAGGGCTTGGGGACCCGGCTTTAGTGACGGTGTTTTAACCAGCATCTAGAAAAAATTTATAAATGCCAACTAAAATAAAAGAGAATATTGGGTTAATTTGCAAGGCGCAGTCAGGGCCACTTAACGGAGCAGCCCGTGGCTTTTAATTAAGTTAATCATCATTCACAAATAAAGGGAAAAATCAATGGGGAATTAGGGGGTTATTTGCAATGCGTGGCCTGGGTCACACCATGGGGAAAAGTGAATCATCATATACGAAAATAAATAGGGAATAAATCAATCTTCTATTATATCAAAATCAAATCGTTGTCTTTATCAAATCATATCGTTAAAATCAAAAAGGAAAAACAAAATAAAAATAGATCAGGCATAAAATTTTATCATTATATATATATGTCAGCGTCAATGTGTTTTTTCCGACAAAGTGTTATTTTTTCAACTTTAAATCATTTTTGAGCGCCTTTTATTAAATTTATAAATTGGATATTACCGGAAATGTATTCCAGCATGTTTAGAATACCTATTTAAAAAATTGTAAATAATTTTGCCGTTAACCTTTAAGTCATTTATAATTTATATCAAAAATCTATGGAAAAACAAATATAAATATATTAAGTTCAAAAGTTCATAGCGAAATTGTTTTAAATTTATAGGGTAGATATTCCAAACATGTTAATACATTTTCGGTAAAATCAAATTTTTAAATTTAGAAAAACGCGCTCAAAAAATAATTTAAAGTTGAAAAAATAACACATTACCAGAAAAACACATTGACGCTAACATATATAAATCTTTCATATGGAATCTGGTTTAACCAGTTCACAAATGATAATTGTCGTGAGAAAAATAAGTAATAAATAATACATTTTAAAGAGTAAAAAAAATATATGAACAATAAAAGACTAAAGAAAAAAAGGGAAACACAATAAAAAGTAAAAGTTATTTAATGTGTTACTTTATGAAAATACTCAATAATCAATTATAGTTTAAGAATTCTCAAAAACAAAGACGTATTACGATCATTTATAAATCTTAATATTTTGTTTGGTTAGGATAAAAATTAATGGTCAATTTCCTCCCTAATAGTAAACTTTACCTTTCGTCACTGTTATTTAGTATAACTAAAAACAAACAATATCTATTCATATTCATTAAATTAGATTAGATTTAAATTGTTTAGATAAATTAATTTACAAAACATATACAAGAAGTTTAATAAACTTAAATCTAAAAAACTTAGTCACAATTTTTATTTTCAATTGGCTGGAAAGACTATAAACAAGATTTCTTTTGAATTTTAATTTAAAAATTAGCACACATTTATAAGAGTAATCTTACAATTTTTATCTGATATATAATAAAATAAAATTATTAGTATTATTTATAGGCGAAAGCTGCAATTTTCAAGATGTAACTAATGTTACAGTTTAAGCTCCTAAAAAGGTAATAACTAGTTACATTAACATTACTAGATATACATAAGCAGTATTATTTTTTGTTCTGAGATAATGCCATTTTCAATGAGATTAGCCTGAAAATCTTTTCCTAGAGATATTCTATTTATAAGCCGTGACCCATCACACATATCATTTTGCGTGATAATTTGTTTCACTTCTTAGTTACTAAGTAACCTGTTTTCAAAAATAATTGTTTATGGGAACTAAGGTTGTTTGAATTTTTTATTCTCTTTCAACAATATTTACAACTTAATTCACAGTCAGAGATAATTTTTAATAAAGGATAAATACATGATTATCAGTAGTATTATACTTAGACAGGCTCCATTGTAAAATTTACTATGATATATATTTGAGTCAAATCAAGTAATCAATCATCAATACGATATTACCTTACAAAATCCCGTAATATCGTATACAATTATCTGAAATTTATTGGATAGGTATTCTACACGTGTTGGAATATATTTCCGAAGAAATTAGATTGTTCAAATTTAAAAAATATCCTTGAATTTCTTAAATTTAAGACATAAATATTTTATCTATACTTTATAGTTACATTGTAGATTTAACGTCATTTGGCGAATAATATTTCGTAAGAGTATATAATATACTATATATTTTTTAAATAGGTAAATAAATCATATTCAATATAATATTAGACATTATATTGCCTTCATTTTTTGTCTTTAAAACTACTTTCCATTTCACCCTGTTTCATTTATATGTTGGTACTTTTTCAGTGGGGAAAGGGGTGGATTTATTGGTTCAAGAGGGATATGAGCTATGGCTTTATGTGTTTAAGCGATAGGCTTAGGGGTCAGCAAGGGGAAATTCCCCCTTCGGTAATTTGCATGTTCTCGTAAATATCAATTTAAGCTAATAACCCCCTCCCCCCCAAATACCACTAACTCCCTCTCCCCAAAAAGTGTATACAATATATTACTATAAAGAAGAATTCAAAGGAAAGTAAAAGTTAATAATTTTTAAAATAACGACTATAATTCAAAATCTTTATAAAAAGGCATTTGTATAAAAAAAACTTAAGAACCAAGATTATTTTTAGAAAAATCTAATATAACCAAAAGCCATAATAAGTGGGACTAAAGACCTCCAATAAATTTATGGGGAAACACCCACTTAGTAGATGCCCCCCTCCCTTTACCAAATTATTGGCTCCGCCTATGCCCCGACATAACCGATTAATTAGGCCATTTAATTCAATGAAAAGGTAAATCAATCAGAATACCTATAATTAAACAATTTCATTCATTTTCTTTATAAAAATGACCTCGTTCTAAAAAACATTTATTTCACAATACATTTCTTATTGTGTATAATATTAATATAGTAATTTATAATTTTAAAGGAAGGAGATCCGCATGAGGGAATTGATTCTTTTACTAGCATGACATCGTCTAAGTACGTCAACAGAGGTGGAGCCGCATCCGAGACAAACTATATAAAAAATCAGAGAGGTAATTTTTTTAAATATAATATATTGAACAAACATTTAACTAATTGAAAACCTCTATAAGTAACATCTATAGAGAACTCTGTCATTCGTCGATTTCTAAAACCATAATAATTCAATAATTAAAATTAACACTCCAATTTAATTATCTTAGGCTTGAGGGCCAAGTTTTAAATTCAAATTAAGCATATAAGAATTAATTGAAATATATTTTAGTCTGCTAAATATAACAAAAGTGAAATCAATTTATAAGATTAGATATAATTATGGATTCACATGTTGCCCAAACATGTATTAAAAATGGTTCCATGCAATTCAGCGAAACTTTTATCGCAAAACACTTTTTCGCGAAACTTTCATCGCGAATGTCGTTTATCGCGAATGAATTTTATAACGAAACTTTTATCGCGAATCCACATTAGCGAATACTTTCCTGCGAAAACAATATAGCGAAACAAATATGGCGAATTTTTTATAGCGAAACTCTTATCGCGAAACTCTTATCGCAAAACTCTTATCGCGAAACCTTTAAAGCGAATACATTAGAGCGAAAATTTTATAGCAAAGGCAATATCGCGAAACATAAATCGCGAAGACAATATAGCGAAAACTATTTCGCGAAATATAACACGGCCTATTATTATTTTTTTTTTTATTAAAATAATTTATTTTATTTATATTTATATTTAATGTTAATATTTTATTTATCAACAAATAAACATATTATATGATATATATTTTTTATTTATATTATTATATTATGAAATGAAAAATGGATTTCTTTTATTTGATGGTTTTTAATAAAAATAATGATTTTATTACAATTTATTAGTGATTTTCACGACCAAAATTTTAAACAAAAAATATTTTTTGAAGTTCAAAAAGATTTTTGAACATATTTTGATATAAATTTTAAATCTTTTTTGAGGAATTCTTTTATGAATTTTATTATAAATAAACAATCTTTTAGGTGAAATCTTTTAGTTTTTTTTATCATTTTTGTAAAATTATCTATTTTTTAAGTTTATTAAAAGAGGTGGGTTTTCTAAATAATATTTATTAAAAATATTTTTATTTAACTTATTTATGTTATTTTATATAATCTTTTTAAGGAAAATAATTTAATCTGACAACTTTTATATCCGTTATTGAAGATGTTCCTTGGAAAAATGACAATTATCATAACCGGTATTTTTAAACATATTAGATTTTTTTTACGGTAAAATATGTATTTTTAACATGTTAAATTAAAATTTCAATTAAGATGCACCATATAAAAGTGACAATTATCATAATCGTTATTTTTAAAGTTTTTTAAATTTTTTTGACGTAAATCGGCTAAAATAAGTATTGTTAACATGTATTAATAAAACTTCAGTGAAGATGTACCCTAGATAAATGAAAATTGTCATAATCCTTATTTTTAAAGTTTTTTGAATTTTTTTGATGCAAATGGTAAAAATATAGATTGTAAACTTGTTAAATTAAAATTTCATGAAGATGTACCAGAGAAAAGTGACAATTGTAATAAATAATCGTTATTTTTAAACTTTTTTTGACGTAAATGGGCCAAAATAAGTATTGATAATATGGTTAAATAAAACTTCAGTGAAGATGTACCCAAGATAAGTGACAATTGATAATCATTTTTAAAGGTTTTGGATTTTTTTGACGCAAATGGGCAAAAAATAAATTGCCAACATGTTTAAATAAAACTTCAGTGAAGATTTACCCTAGATAAGTGACAATTGTCATAATCGTTATTTTTAAAGTTTTTGGAATTTTTTTGACGCAAATGGGCAAAAATAGGAATTGCTAACATGTTAAAATAAAATATCAATGAAGATGTACCATAGATAAGTGACAATTGTCATAATCGTTGTTTTTAAAGTTTTTTGAATTTTTTTGATATAAATGGATAAAAATATAGATTGTAAAAATGTCAAATTAAAATTTCATGAAGATGTACCATATAAAAGTGACAATTGTCATAATCGTTATTTTTAAATGTTTTTAAATATTTTTGAAGCAAATGGGCTAAAATATAAATTGCTAACATGTATTTCAGTGAAGATGCACCCTAGATTAGTGACAATAGTCATAATCGTTATTTTTATAGTTTTTGAATTGTTTGACTAAATTGGACAAAAATATAAATTGTTAACATGTTGAAATAAAATTTCAGTCGAAACAAAAATCAAATCGATATTTTCATGCTCATAATCGTTGTTCCTTTTATCCTGCTTAAAATTTGATAAAAATATACAAAGTGATTATTAAAGATAGTTGTAACCTATGTTAAATTCTAAACTTTTGATATGGATTCACAATCTTATTCCTTTAATTAATAAATTTTAATTTTACATTATAAAAATGTATAACCTTGCATTCACAGTTAGCAAATTCGTGGCAAAATAGTGCTGAGTCTGAATTCAGGGTAGGATTTTTATAGAAAGAACTTAAAAACCATATGAATAATATTAGTAATATGATACAATCAATATCCTATAAATTTTATGTTAAGATTTTATTTTTATAAATATTTGGTTAAGATGGATTACAATCTATATTTTAATTTATTTACATCAAAGAACTTTAAAAATAACGATTATAACAATTATCACTTTTCAATGGTATATCATCATGAAATTTTAATTAAGCATGATTACAATCTATATTTTTACCATTTGCAACAAAAAAAATCAAAAAAACTTTATTAACAACGATGACAATTGTAACTTATCTATGTTACATCTTCACTGAAATTTTATTTTAACATGTAAGCAATTAATATTTTTGCCCATTTGCTTCTAAAAAATTCAAAAAGTTATAAAATAACGATTATGACAATTGTCACTTTTCTATGGTACATCTTCATGAAATTTTAATTTAACATGTTTATAATCTATATTTTTATCCATTTGCGTCAAAATATTCAAAAAAACTTTAAAAATAACGATTATAACAATTGTCACTTATCTAGGGTACATTTTCATTGAAATTTTATTTTAACATATTAGCAATACTTATTTTAGCCCATTTACGTCAAAAAAATTTTAAAAAGTTATAAAATAACGATTATGACAATTGTCACTTTTTTATGGTATATCTTCATGAAATTCTAATTTAACATGTTTACCATCCTTACCCATTTGCGTTAAAAAAATACAAAAAACTTTAAAAATAACGATTTTGACAATTGTCACTTATCTAGGGTACATCTTCACTAAAGTTTTATTTAAATATGTCATCAATACTTATTTTAAACCATTTTGGTCAAAAAAATTCAAAAAACTTTAAAAATAACGATTATGACAGTTGTCAATTTTCAATGGTACATCTTCATGAAATTTTAATTTAGCATGTTTACAATCTATATTTTTACCCATTTGCAACAAAAAAATTTATAAAATAATGATTATGACAATTGTCACTTTTCTATGGTACATCTTCACTGAAATTTTATTTAAACATGTTTGCAATACTTATTTTATGCCCATTTACGTCAAAAAAATTTATAAAATAACGATTATGACAATTGTCACTTTTCTATGGTACATCTTCATGAAATTTTAATTTAACATGTTTACAATCTATATTTTTACCCATTTACGTTAAAAAATTTTAAAAAAGTTTAAAAATAATGATTATGATAATTGTCACTTCTCTATAGTACATCTTCACTGAAGTTTTATTTAAACATATTAGCAATACTTATATTAACGCATTTTGGTCAAAACAATTCAAAAAACTTTAAAAATAACGATTATGAAAACTTTAAAAATAACGATTATGACAATTGTCACTTTTCAATGGTAGATCTTCATGAAATTTTAATTTAGCATGTTTACAATCTATATTTTTACCCATTTGCAACAAAAAAATTCAAAAAACTTTATATACAAAGATTATGACAATTGTCACTTTTCAATGGTTGATCTTCATGAAATTTTAATTAAGCATATTTACAATTTATATTTTTACCCATTTGCAACAAAGAAATTCAAAAAACTTTATAAACAACGATTATGACAATTGTAACTTATATCTATGGTACATCTTCTCTGAAATTTTATTTTAACATGTAACAATTTATATTTTTGCCCATTTACGTCAAAAAATTGTAAAAAAACTTTAAAAATAATGATTATGACAATTGTCGCTTTTATATGGTACATCCTAATTGAAATTAAAATTTAACATGTTAAAAATACATATTTTAGCCCATTAGCGTTAAAAAAATCTAATATGTTTAAAAATACCGATTATGATAATTGCCATATTTCCAAGGAACATCTTCATTAAATCTATAATTTAACATCTATACAATATAAATAATATTTTTACCCTTTTGAGTCAATAATTTTCAAAAATTTTAAGAAATAACGAATATGACAATTGTCACATTAAATTATTTTCCAAAGATCATATCAAATAACATAAATAAGTTGAATATAAATATTTAAAAAAAAATTATTTAGAAAACCCACCTCTTTTAATATAATTAAGAAATAGATAATTTTACAAAAATGATAAAAAACTATAAAAGATTTCACTTAAAAATTGTATATTTATAATAAATTTCACAAAATAATACCTCAAAAAAAATACATTTACAAAGAAGATTTAAAATTTTTATCAAAATTGAACTTCAAGAAATATTTTTTACTTAGAATCTTGGGCGTGAAAATCACTAAATTGTAACAAAAATAATATTACAATAATAGCATATCATTTTTTATTAACCCTTTCGCGCCCAGCGAGATCATTTGTCATCAAAATTTTTAATCAATTTTTTTTTCTCTTTAGCTTATGGGCACTACCTTTAAACTATTTAGTATTCTTGTACTGCGCACCTTATCCTTTCTTGTTACCCCAGCAATCATCCTCAGAATTCTCATCTCCATAGTTTGTAGACTTCTCTCGTCTGATTCTTTGGTTGGCCATGTTTCTGAACTATATAGAATAGTTGGTTGTACTATGGAACTGTAAATTTTTCCCTTT